TTAACAGCATAACATGTAAAACAACGAGTATTTTTTGAAAACTCTTACGGAAAAATATTGGTACACATAATCGTCTTACTAATTAAACAATAATTAATAGGAACTATAATCTAACATTTTCATACATTTATATTTAATTTGCTTCACAAATTATAATAATTGAACTGAACTAAAATATCTTACGGTTGTTTTTTTTTTTAAATAAAGCCGATATATCGATATTTTTTTCGATTTATAAAACTCCGATATTGACTCACTGTATATTAACTTACGATATATAAAACTCCAACATTGATATATTTATAATTATCGATATATCAAAAATACAATCATCATCATCAGATCAGTTGGAATGATTAGTTAGCAGACAGTGTGTGTGGAAATTTCTTTGGCTTAAATCCGTTCGAACTGATATCAGTTCGACTGATGACTGTAACTGACCGTGTGTGGCCACCATTAGATTATCATATTACAGTCCTTACGGTACGGTTTTTAGTTTTTTTTTATAGAAATAAATATTGCATATAAATAAGAATTAATTGTGATTTTTGCAATACTAATGTACCTATTTAATAATGTAATGATTAAACTCCAAATTATATGCAACATATAAAGCGAAAGAATATGCATGCAAATATACAAAAAATAGTTAAAATATTCACGAAAATTCATAAAAAGGGCCAAAATATGCAACATGAAATAATAATAAAAATATTATAAAAAGTATTAAAAGTAATTATATTTTTTTAAATTAAATTAGAAAACTTAAAAGGATATTTAATTAAAGTGTAAAAAGCATTTTTCGAAGCTTACGTAATAACACAATTTGCCTAGTATCCATACTTGTTCATTGTAACTATGTAATTCTTTCATAATATACTGATTTACTAGCCTATTATCCAAAATAAAAGCATCGTGAGCATGACCTCTACATTTTGCATTAACTTTTAAAATGCGGTATTCACTTTGAATATTCAACTGGAGAGAATTTTGGCTAGTTTTTGAAAGACTGGTCAAACTTAGATTTTAAGTCAATTTAATCAAAAAGTTATGGGTACTTTCCACGTTGTGTTTATACCGACAAATGAAAACATTAATGCGCCAATAGCTTCATCGTAATTATCGGATATAATATCATACCCGTAATCGACATATCCATAATGCCTTCCGCTGCTAGCATAGTATTCCGTCAATTGCCTAATTTTCATTTCATCCATTACCAAGGTTCAAGAATTTTTATAAGGGTTACTCTCCACTGTCAATTTTAATGCTCGAAAACATAAATGACTCCCTGTGCCTTACCAACTCGTCTCGTTTATAGTAAGATAGGCGTATAGGCGTACCAGAAGTGGAATATGAATAGGCCGGGACGATGAAGCTCCGATTGCAAGCCTATTAATGCTGGTGTTCCACAGGGCTGCGTGCTATCGCCAACGCTGTTTCTTCTGCATATCAATGACATGTTGCATACCCGTAACATTCATTGCTATGCAGATGACAGCACTGGTGATGCTCTTTACACCGGCCGAGCCAATATTTCTCGGGAAAACGTCTCCGAGTCTCGGATTGGGGGCGACTAAATCTAGTCCAGTTTAACCCCCAGAAGACACAAGTTTGCGCGTTAACCGCTAAAAAGAACCCCTTTGTCGTATCTCCTCAGTTTCAAGGCACTCCCCTTGTTGCCTCAGCCAGTATCGGAATCCTCGGCGTCGACATATCAAGTGACGTGCAGTTTCGTGGTCACTTGGAAGGGAAGGCCAAATTGGCCTCTAAAAAAGCTTGGCGTGCTCAGCAGAGCGGGACAGTATTTCATGCCGGCACACCGCCTGCAACTTTACAAGGCGCAGGTTCGGCCGCACATGGAATACTGTTCCCATCTCTGTGCTGGGGCTCCCCCAGTACCAGCTTCTTCCACTTGACCGCATCCAGCGCAGAGCGGCTCGAATCGTCGACGACCGAGTGCTTTCCGATAGGCTCGATTCACTGGCGCTACGAAGAGATGTTGCATCTCTTTGCGTATTTTATCGCATCTATCACGGGGAGTGCTCTGAGGAATTGTTCGGATTAATCCCAGCCGCCAAATTTCGTGAACGCACTACACGTCAAACGTCCCGATACCATCCACACCATCTGGATGCTTGGCGGTCCACCACTGTACGTTTCACAAGGAGTTTTCTTCCACGTACAACCTCTCTATGGAATAGTTTACCACCGGCGATTTTTCCGAACCGATACGACCTGGGGACCTTCAAGAAAAGAGCTTACTCCTTTCTAAAGGGCCGGCAACGCACCCGCAATTCTCCTGGTGTTGCGGTTGATCATGGGCGGCGGTAGTCACTTAACATCAGGTGAGCCGCATGCTCGTTTGCCCCTTCTTCCATAAAAAAATGATATTTAACAAAAAACCTATAAAACAAACCCAGTTAAATACATTTTTTAGAAATCTTGTACGTTTCCAATCTGAAAACTTATATATAAAATAGGAAAGGATAATTATATGACATATGTACAGTATCTTTCATATTGTCACATTTTATTTAACGTTCATTTTGGTCGATATCAATAAATTATTAAGGTACAACAAATATTAATGCACACATTAACAACCTAAGACAATCAGTTGCCAATCAAACAAAGATCTGCCGTATTTTCACGCCGTCTACTAGATACCGTATTTTTATAAGTACATGCAGACACTATATATTTGTTTTCAACATAAATAAAATTTCATTTTATAATGAACGCTACTTTTAGTTTGTGCTGAACATTTTGCCTCTTCCAGATTCAAATTCAAAAAGTTTAAGCCAAATAAATAACACAAAACTAAGAAGAAAAACTGATTAATTACTGAAAGAATCCGAAACAAATGTTCTCTGGATGTCGCTTATACAATAATAAACACATTAAAAAAAACACAACTACATTCCATCACCTATTACAAATAAATCACTTAACATGTACAACATTATTCTTATATATATATATATATATATATATATATATATATGTTGAAATTTAGAATCGTTTGGCAGGAATTTGGAGGAGTAAGGTGTTTTATTTGGTAGAGGTTTGGTCCCCGATTATAACAATGCCACTCCCATTAAAAGGTAATACACGGTGTATGTATATTGAGAAAAATCAAAAAGAAAATCCCCATAGAACTAACCTCAAAATCATAACCTCAAATTCATCAATGAATTAAGGGGTGGGAGGTGGTGGAGAGGGAGGCGGGGGAATTGTAGAGTCGCCCCCCCCATTCCACATCCTGCCGGACATGCTTAGTTTCTTTTTTTATAAATTTTTAAAAATCTAATTTTGAGGTTATGTTTTTGTAATGTTTTTGACTATAAACCTAATTTATGGGGTGAGAGAATTGGAGGAGGGAAGCACCACGTAGCGCAGTAGAGGGAAGCGCGGTCGACGGAACCCCGCGAAGCAGGGCTCCTACTTCTGAGTGGTTTACAAAAAATTAACCATGAAGGGTATCCCCATCTAACCTAACCTGTCCGAGTCGGGGTGCCCTAAGTTCCGAGCTCGCTTCGCTCGCTCTTGCACTCAACAAAACACCAAAATTTAGCTTTTATAATTCACAATATATAAAAACACAATATATAATACAAGAATAACCACACTACGGCTCGCACAGGTGCCTGCGATTTGCTACGACGGGCTGGGGCTGCTCTCCCTCTGCACCTATGGCTTTACAAAAACACTTTAGGAGTAGGGCAGACAAGACTACGTGCATTCGGAGCGTACTGATTTAATTTTAGTACAGATTCGATCGGATCTGATATCTATAGTTAGGTTGCCTTTGCTCCCGCAACAGACACAAAATTCTGTATGCTATCCAGCTTTCACAGTAATATCGTATAATTGTTTCTCAGAAGGGCTAGAACCCAGAGCCGTAAAGTCAGTTATAATAATAAAAATGTAATTATACATTTTCTTCTTCTTCCATACATTATTCCATTTTAGGTTATAATAGTTTTTATTTATTTTTTCGATAACGGTGCATTACCTTGTAATGTGAGTGGTATTATTATAATCGGGGACCAAACCTCTACCAAATAAAACACCTTACTCCCCCCAAATTCCTGCCAAACGATTCTAAATCCAACCCTATATTTATATATATATATATATATAAGAATATTAAAGTTAGATGAATATATTGTTCGATTTTATGTTTATTTTGCGTTTTTTTTAAATTAAAATTAAATTTAGCGGCATTTGAGGTCTTTTTTGTTATTAAATTCATGTATAACTAGGGACTTTTTGACGGCAGTCTAGAGACCTACGGTCGTAGACAGAGTATTCTCTGCACAAACTAATAAGCGTAGACAGAGAAACCTATAGACAAATTGACGCCTTCTTTCGCATTCGCACACGAAAAAGATAGATTTATGCATACGTCTTGCATAAAAGTGAGATAGAGCGGTGTGATTGTTTGTCCCTTTCTCCGTGAGCTTAAGATTGGTGAATCTTGTTCAGTTCAGTTCTTAGAACTATTAAAATTTTTATCTAAATGTGTTTAAAAGTCATAAAGATTATTGTATAACCTAAAAATTCGTTATCGTCCTTTCTCACTCGAGGCCACGCCGATCATGTCTATAGGTTTCTCTGTCTACGCTAAGAGTACTAATATAATTCTCTGTCTACGCCTACGGTAATTCAATGTGGCAACACTGTCTATGCAGTGATACCGACAGTGCATAGATTACTGACTATGTACCTTGCTACATATTTATTTATCTATGCTATGCTATGTACATACGATATATTACTTTCCTCTATCTATGTATAAACTAGCTACTAGCGACAGTGAGCGACAGTGTCATAGATTACTGTATATATACTAGAGAGACAGCAACATATTTATTTATCTTGAGAGACAGTGTTCTCTAGTATATATACAGTAATCTATGGACAGTGTGTATTTTGTTGTCGTAGGAGTGAGTGTATTCCGCGCCGCAGTCGTAATTACGACCAGTGCCTAAATAATGTCTACTAGGCCAGGAAACTTTAAAAATCCATTCTCAAGACCATGGATGACAGAGAATGGTGCGGCGGCTGCGGCCGGAGGTGCAGGATCTGTTGGTTTAAAAGGCGTAGTAGCCGGTGGAATAACTGGTGGCATTGAAATTTGTATTACATTTCCTACCGAATATGTAAAAACCCAACTTCAGTTAGACGAAAAAGGTCAGTATCAGTTAAAAATAGGAAGCAGTAATTTTTAAATAAATATAAGTATTGAAGTGTTATTGGAATATTAGTTATATGCATTATTTTACTACTCAAATATTTTCTTTTGATTTAATAAGAATTTTGTTCTTATTTTTGATTATCTTACGAGCCTCAGAATTTTCTATAACAATTAGCAGCACGTCATTGAAAACCAATCCAATTAGAATCATGTTACAAGGAAAACTAATTGTTCGATGTTAGAATAATCATTTACGTAAAATTTTTCTATGAATATTAAATACTACCTAATGGACTTTGATCTTGTATGTTAATTTTTGTTTAATGTTTTTATTCTAAATGGTCATAATATGGTACCTACATTAAAAACTAGTTAATATATTTATTATCATCTTAACCTTTTAAAAAAGTAAATTAATATTAGTTTATTATGTAATATAAATCTTAGGTACATATCATTTTGTGAATTAGGTTGATGTGATATTGGTTGCTATCTTTTTAAACGGAATGATAGCATAGCCATGTTATAAAATTTTTATCACCTTTGAATTACCTGTCTCAACTACACTGCAAAAATACACTTTATGTAATAATTTGTTTATTTGTATGAATTTGTAATACCTACCATTAAAATTAATTATGGTAAGATTAAATAACCCAATATTTAAGAAGAAGTAATAAATTCGTCATTTATGTAGAAATAACAGTAATAATGATTCAACAAATTCATAACAGAATGTAGCTATTTACAAATTATACTTTCTACTGAGAATCTAATTACCTAATTACAATTATTAGGCGAAATATATTGTAATTATTTTCAATTTTATGTCAAGGTCTTTGAAGCTCTTACATTACTAGTATCAATTGGACAATTCTTCATTGCATAAAGTAAATAAGAACACATGAATAAGATTATTCTGAAATTTTGTGTGTTTGAAGTGAACTTTTACATTATATTTAAAGTTTAATTCTTTACAATAAAGAAATACAGGTCCACTTGTCATTAGGTGGGTTTCTTATAGAAAATGGTATGAATAACTGCACGGAATTTGAAAAAAAATTGTGAACAAAGCGTTTGTTGTGAATAAAGTAATGATACTTTTGATATAATGGTAATTTGATGATTAACAAACTAACTACTATTTTTTTAAGTTTATTAATCAAAATTTATAAAATAATTCAAGGCTACAGCATCCATGATACTGCATTTGATCTCTTATTATCATATCTTATATACTGAGAGCAAAAGGTTGTAAATATAAGTCCTTAAGGTCATTGGGCAGTGTAACATAAAACCGAGTGTCCCACAGGGGACAATATTTGGCCCTTTGATTGTTTTTGGTCTATATATTTTTTATTATATATAATAAAAGAAACAACTTTGCAAAAAACAGCCCAATCAAATAATGGATATTGTTTTGCAGCAAATAATTTGCTGTGAAAGCAGAAAAATAAAATGTTTATACTTTCTTATTTGCCACAGAGCTATTTAAATATTTTAGAATACAAAAGTTTGTTTGTATTTATTGTTGTAAATAATGTTGAAATCAACTTCTGCTTTCTTTATTATGAGAAGGATTAGAAATTTGACTAATGAAGCGAACGCCAAATTAGTCTACTTACTTCAGTAAGAGGTTTTACAGTGTATTACCGCGGGGTCTTCAGCTGGATGGGAACAATTCTTATTTTGCAAAAGCAAGTGATAGGAGCAAGCGTGTCAAGTTGTTATGCGACCCTGTCAACAGTGGCGGCTTCTATACAAGCCCAAAGGCTTGCATCATTAAGATGAATCAATCAATCAATTATATTAAGTAATAAAATAACTCGTAAACTATTTCAAACTATTTCAAATTTCCCGCGACTCTGTGCGACCTCGTAGCCTTAGGAATACTGCTGTCATACATATAAGGAGAGTTGAATTGAGCGATTGGTTTTCTCCCTCGCACACGTGGGCTTTTTACCGGGCTTTCGAGAAGACTTTAGCTCCCTTTCTAACCTGTGGCAAAATGTTCTATAATGAAATATAACTACAATTGTATAAATAGCAATTAGTATGGAGCTAAAAAGCCTGGCTTTTTAGTGACCATTAAATTTTTCCTCAGAGCGGGACGTCTTTAAAATTATTGTAGTTCTAACACTTTTGACTGTCTTCTTGGTCCAATGGCAGTAAACGCAATTGCTGATCATGTGGTCCCATGTTCAAAACCCGAGTTGGGTCAAGAATCATTTATTGGGTTTTTCCGTCACAAAATTCTCAGTAGCAGTAGTAGTATTACACTTATTGTATATGTTAGTATTATACTTACGCCATTATTAAAAATCAATCTTGAACCCTTTAATATAGTTTTATAAATAAAACACATAATTGTTTGAGTCTTTTAATGATCAAAAGTGAATTCTAAACATCAAATAAATACTAATTGGAAATATCTTATGTTATTTGATAATTTATTGTAGATTAATTAAAAATTGTCACTTTGTAACTTTAAATTCATAAGTGTAGCTTTCAGAATAATCACGTAACTAGACCAGCTATGCAAACCTGGTATGCGCGGTGTCATAATGATGGCACGGGTGACAGGATTTGCGTGATTGTCACACTTTTGTTTGTCAAAGCGGGACATTTTTACGTATTTTGGGGATAGCGCGGCACAAACATTTAAATCGGGAACGTCCCGCCTAAAGTGGGACGTATGGTCACGTTAGGTATGAAGTTAGTGAAGGGAGGCGCGCGGCCGACGCCGACGAGCCGACGATATGTTAGCAAGTTCGTGTCACATTTCAATGTTTACATTGTGTCAAAACTCATTTCTAGCGACCGAATCATTCTAGTACATTTCGTCACGCTTACTGGTACATTCGGATCGATCATTCAAATGAATCATTTCAGGCTCCAGTACTCTGTGAGTCTGTGAGATCTATTGGGAACCGAAAATTTAAGATTTGTAATAGCGCCATCTACTACATGATGTAGGTAATAAAGTCATTTTATCGAATTAAACTTATTAACTTTCAAGGTGGTAAGAACAATCGACGCTAGATGACATAAACACAAAAACCTCAAGTTATCATATATTTTAAATATTTAATAAATATGCTTAATGTTAAATTTCACTCCTAACACTAAGTGAGTCTGAACATACACAATTTCATCTTACTTTACATGTCTGAAAATAGGGATTGAAACAATTATTTGCTATGAAATTAAACTTTTACCTAACTTATATAAGATGGTTGAAAATGATCATTAAATAAGTCATTTATCATAAAATCTTTGAAGTGTTATTTTTAGTAAACTCTACAAAACGATATTTTTAACTCATAGATTTAAATTTAAAATGATTTTTAATTTAGGTAACAATATTATAGTAAAAAAAAAACCTAAAATAATAAATACTCCTGATACTCTGCAGTTTCTGTATATATTCTCCGCTAGGAGTAATGGTGTTCTGTGTATATATTACTCTACTCTATGCTCTGCAATCTGCATTGTTAATTCGATTCGCCTGTTTATTCAGATCATTCGGGATTCGGTCGGTTTGCGGCTCATTCACAATTCAAACAAATCGCGGGTTAAAAAGGTACCGTCAATTGTTTGTGATTGGTTGTACTGGTACATTCAAAAACAAATGAATGAACCATCAATACTTTTAAGTGCACCAGCTCAAACGAACGAATCATGCATGATCGATACATGTCTAGTGCATTGTGTGTTGAGCTTGAGCGAATGTATTGCGAGTTTAAAATTTATGCTTTTTTAAAGATTTTTAGTGAAAATGGAGGGAAAGAGTGTTCCTTGTGATGAATTGAAGTGTGTTAAAGTGCTAATCGGCGAGGAAAAGGTAAAAATTTTAAACTTTGTTGAGAAAAAACAGCTCATATCCTCGCCGAAACCAACGCCTGATCTGTGTATTTCTCAGAGGAGTAAAACCCATAAACGGCAATTTAATAGATCTGTTTACAAAACTCATTGGATTGTTGGCCGCTCACATACTAATAAATTGTACTGTTGGTGTTGTATATTCTTTTCCAACGACAAAACGGCTTGGAATACTACTGGATATGACGATTTAAATAACTTATCTAGAGCCATTAAAAGGCATAATATGAATTCTTAAAAACACATGAATGCGGTAATTTCGTTTAGTAATTTTGGAAAAAATCGGATTGAAACATCTTTGTCGCGCCAGTTATCAGAGGAAATTATAAAACAACATGCCTGTTGATCACAACCGTAGCGTTTTTCAAAGATTAGTCGATATTGTTTGCCATTTAGCACAACAAGAACTTCCTTTCAGAGGTCACGATGAATCGAAAACTTCATTAAATAGAGGCAATTTTTTAGAACTTGTATCGCTTCATTCGAAGTACGATCTCGTGTTAGAAAATCATATACAATATCAACAAAGCGACAAACGGCCGAATTATTTATCTAGTACAATCCAAAATGATTTTATTCATTCTGTCGCTGATGTAATGAAAACTCACATCGAGTACGAAGTAAAATTGTCAAAATTCGTTTCAATTATTATTGACGAAACTCCCGATGTTAGTCACAGAGAGCAATTGTGTTTAATTCTCCGATATTATTATGGAAACGATATTCTTGACCGTTTTTTGGGGTATGTAGATGTGTCTGAAAGTCGCACAGCAGACACACTTTGTAATATCATATTGGAATTATTAAACAATCATGACTGCACCACAAAACTAGTTGCGCAAAGCTATGACGGCGCAAGTGTCATGTCCGGTGTCAGAAATGGAGTGCAACAAAAAAGTGAAAGATATTTGTCCCCAAGCCATGTATATTTGGTGTAATGCACACATTTTGGCATTAATTTTATTTAAATCTTGTAACAGGATTGGGAAAGTCAGCACTTTTTTTCAGCCCTTCAAGCTTTATTTAATTTTTTTAATAGCAGCATAAAACGGTCGTCTTTTTATGATGCACATTGCAGCAAAAAATTGCCTAATGCCCCCGCAACTCGTTGGACGTATATGTCACGAATTGTGAATACAGTATTCGAACAAAAAGATAATTTAATTAATTTCTTTTCGGATATGTGCGACAATCCACACAGCTGGGACGGCGATACGATCTTGGCCGCCGAGAATTTTAAAAACACATTGTGTTCATTTAATTTCAATTTTTTTCTTTCAATTTTCCAACGGGTATTTGAAAAAACCGACTGCTTGTACAATATTCTACAAAAATCACAAGTTGATGTCGGTTATTGCAGTCATAAAATAAAGGAGTTTCAGACATGGTTACGTACTGAATTTCAGTCAGATTTTGATCACATTTATGAAAACACATTACAAAATACCTCTGCTCCTCGTTTGAGACGCAATGTGCGCTGTGCTCAGACAGAATATAAACGACTTTTTGTTAAAATAATTGATAACATATCTTCAGAAATTAATGGCCGATATTCTGAAATTTTCAAATTAAAATTTTTCCAACTGTTCAACAACAAGCTATTCGAAAAATATCGTTCAGATTTTCCTTTAGAGGCATTAGATTCATTATTTGAAAATTACATAAACCATTTTGATAAACAAACATTGAAAAACCAATTGATTTCATTGTATTCCTCCCCTGAATTAAAAGACCGCAATGTTTTCGAACTCATTGACTTTATAAACGAAAATAGTCTTGAAGAGGCCTTTCCCCAACTTTTAAAGTTAGCTTATCTTGTCGTAACTATTCCAGCCACACGTTCCTCCGCGGAACGTGCTTTCTCATCTCTGAAGCGCATCCATACTTATTTGAGAAATACACAAGGTCAAGAGCGTCTTTCAGACTTATCAAATATCGCGATTGACAAACAGTTATTGGTACAATTAAAACGTTCACCAACATTTTACGCGGACGTAATTAAATCTTTCCTTAAGAAAGAGAGACGATTCAATTTAGAATATAAATAAATTGTTTTTTTTTAATTTTGTACATAGGTTGTTTGTACTTTGTTCATGCTTTTCTTTTCTTCATGTATTGTATTGTATGTCATCTTTTTTTTCGCTCAAGCAAACCCAAACGGCTTTTTTTCAGTTTCTAGCAGTAGTATGCCTTCGGTGTACTTTGTTAAACACGTCCTCGACAGAACTGATTATAAAACTGAAGAGTGGAAACAGATCAAGATAGATGTATTTTTAAAACTGCTAAAAAAAATATCTTGGGCTTGCCCCAGTTTGGAGCCCTAGCTTCGCCACTGCCTGTCAAAGAGACTAATATCTTGTCATTTCTGTTGTTATTTTTTTTAACATCTTAAACATATGGAAAAATATAAATTTATTAAAAAGCACCTATTAAATAAATTAAAAAGCATTAAATGTAATAAAGGAGCAGGTGGGTAATTATTTCATTTGGTGTCAATCGGATGTCCGGGTGAATCTCCCCCTTAAAACTAAGTTGGATTTATACCGTGCCATACCATTATATATAGTACTGAATGTACAGTACAAGGAGTACTCATACATTTTGGGTATTTTATAATTAATCTTGTATTTTTTTTATCATTAAAGAGTCAAAACGTCACTACCATGTGTGTCCCATATAACATTTTCGTCATTATTTCAGCAAAAATGTCATCTTAAACGTATGTTTATAAGCCAAAGTCACTATTTAATATAAAGCTTAATAATCATTACTAATATCTTAGATTTAACAAATGAAATCAAATTGAAAGTGATAGAATAACAACATCGTAAATATTGTCCCAAGCGAAAACAGTCATTCCCGTGTCAGTTCATGTCACGACGTGTAGTACATCACTCAACAGCTGTATAAAATTTCTGCAACTGCCCCGCGCACCTCCCAGCCACCACGCAGCCGTCAACGAAAACGCACGTCGCACATCCTGACTGATTTAAAAAAAATTGAAGAAAAAGGGTGTTACCGTGGTTTTTGTCAGAAAAAATTGTCTTTATTGTGGGTCTACTTCCTCGGTAAGTACACAGAATATTAGAATAGGTTTTATTTTCCCTAATTATTTAACCATTTTGTTATGACATAAGCAACAGAAAATATTCCGGAACATTAACCCTGCAATGTTATGCGAGTAATATTTGATTTTGTCATTACCGTGTTTGTCATTAACATGTATTACCGTGGTTGTTTTAAGCCACGGTAATGACGACGATAACATGATAATGACTTACATATAATACATAAGTAAATATTAACAGTTTTTTTTAGACTAGTACCGATTGTAATTGGTATGTAAATAAGTATTGTGCATTATATACGCCAATTTTGCTTATTCTAGACAAAAAAATAGACATGCCACGACGTAAAAAGCCAGTAAATAGAGAAGAAATGTTAAGAAAAAAAAACGATTAGTGGAACAAAAAAGGCGCAACAAAATAAAGTCTAACCCTGAGCTATATAAAGAATACTTAGAAAAAGAAAAAGCTCGCTATATTAAAAGAAAGGATACTAAAAAAATTGTACCAATTAAAGAATTAAAGCCAAGGGAACAGAGGGCACAGAGAAAAAAATGGAAGATAAACCAACAGAATTTAAGAAGAAAGAAAAATGAACTTAAAATGTTACACGAAAAAGATACGCCACCTGAATCAGATTCTGAAGATCCCACAGAAGAGTCGAATCAGCCAAACTCTTCTAAAGAACTTGTGATTGTTTCCAATGTTGTACTCGTGCCAAGTCGTGAAGAAAGATCTCGCAATAATTTCCAAAACCAGTTTGAAGAGCATTTGCTCCAAAATCAAAAAAGTGATGAGGAAGATGAAGGAGAACGGGCGTCGTGCTCGTCACTTGAAGTTGCTAAAATTCAAAGATCGGAAGCATTTTTAGCTCGTACGAACGAAGAGTTACCAAGAGAGTTACAAGACATCAAAACTGCGAAATTTGAAGAACAAACGTTCTGTTTGTCTCAAGATGTTAGCATGATTATAGAAACATCGGCAATTAATGATATTAATTCAGATTTAGATATTACGCTAGAACCATCCGAAATTGTGATGTTTGAGACGTCAACCCCATTTGAGGCTGCTCCAATTTATGCCGAAACATTAATCGCTTTGCCGGGTGCTTCTACAGCAGATAATGAAGCTATCTCCGATTCAACGAATGTGTCAAGCGTTGACCCGTTAGGTAGTGAATTTGACGAAGCATCTTCCAATATAACAGGATTAGAAAAGGCAAAGCTAAGGGATCCATATGAGAATATACAAATAGGCTCCTGGGTTGTTAGATCGAACCAATGTCAGTTAAAGAATACTGCCATAAAGTATTTTATTGGACAAGTGATAAATATTAATCATGATGACAACACTTTTACAGTAAAATCTCTCAGAAGGATAAAAAACACCGTAAATGTTTTTCTTGGCCGAACAAAGATGATGAAGACTGTGTCACTAAAAATGTTATTGTTAAAGTATTAAAAGAACCCAATATAAATCGCAGAGGTCAGCTTATATTTGATGATGTCGAAAATTTACTACCTGAGTAAAAATATTAAAATACCTAAATGTTTGCTAATTTTTTATTATTTTTTTTACATTTCTAGTTTATAGTTACAGTAATGTCTACTCTTAGTTTTTGATAATTTCACATATATTTTTAGTTGTCATTTTTAATTAAGCTATTATATTATAAATTATAATTTAGTATATTATTGTTCTCTGAAAAGTTAATTGATCTCAATAACTAACCTATGAAAAATTATTAATATATCATTTGTTTTTATTTGCACCTAGTCAAGGACCAATTACACTAAAAGAATAGTTGATCTCAGTAAACATATAAAAGTTGAATAGAATTTTAAGTTTTATTTTCCATTTTTGTACGTATGTGATAAAAGGTAATAAATGTATCTAGTTTATGTTATAATTATTACAGAACTGAGAAAGTTATTTTGTGAGATTATATCTTTACCAAAGAAGTTTTTAATAAACATTTATTTCATTAACAATCTGTTTTATTTTAAATTTTTAGTATATGTTTCAAGGGGAAAAGAACAGTATGAAGTATCATTTATTATTGCAGTGTTCAAACGTCATTACCGTGTGCACGAAGTGTCATTACCGTGAACAATCGTCACTACCGTGCCCACATAATGTCATCACCGTGACTCCTAAAACTTCAGGGGCCCATATCTCTACTAATTGAGGCCCTAGGAGAGGGCCTTCATTTTTTTAATAATTCACACATTAGAAACTTTCAATTTAAACTCATTTTGCGCTTAAAAATACATTTGTATTTTATTTTTTCCCCAATCCGCCCAATTTACATCAAATGAAATAATTACCCAGGTTCTGATGGAATCCCTCCAGTGTTTGTAGTCAGATGTGCTGATCACCTTGTTAATCCACTATTAATTATATTCAATTTTTCTCTTTGTACTGGGCAATTTCCTACTCTATGGAAAATAGCTAAAATCGTTCCGGTTCATAAAACGGGCAGTGAGGATTATGTAAGAAATTACAGGCCGATCTCTATATTATCAGTCTTTGCTAAATTATTAGAGTCAATTATTTGTCCTTATATTCAGAGACATATCAATCTTTACTTAACCACTAGCCAACATGGGTTCGTTAAATCTAGGTCTACGAGCACTAATTTGGTACATATTACGGAAATACTAATTGAAGCACTTGATGCGGGGAAACAAGTCGACGTAATATATACTGATCTTAGCAAAGCATTTGATCGGGTCCCACATGCCATATTGGTTCGTAAGTTAGCTGCCTACGGCATTACTGGTAGTATGTTAAAATGGCTAAAATCGTATTTAAAGGACCGAGCGTTTTTTGTGGTGGTGAATGGATATCAGTCAGGATTAAAAAATATTAATTCTGGTGTGCCCCAAGGGTCTCACCTTTGACCGATTCTGTTTGGGGTGTTTGTAAATGAAATTCCAGAATTGATGAAATGGTCTCGTGTGTACTTGTATGCGGATGACTTAAAAATTTGCAAGACGATTGTGGAAGAGAACGATTCAATAAAGCTACAGAACGATTTTGATCAACTGATTAAATGGTGCAAAGTAAATCGTATGGACTTAAACATTAGTAAATGTTTCTATGTGCAATATGCGAGAAAAAGTAACACTATCGACTATAGCTATCACATTGGATGTAATAAAATACAGCAGTTAGACGAAATTAGGGACCTCGGGGTCATATTTGATAAAAAATTAACTTTCGTACCGCACATTGAAAACATAACTAAACGTGCATCTAGAATGTTGGGTTTTGTCATAAGATATATCAAAGTCTTTCGAAATGCTAGAATTAAAATTCTTTTATTTAACAGTTTGGTAAGAAGTATATTAGAGTACAGTGCTGTAGTCTGGAGACCTCATTACGCTACACATTCACTGAGAATCGAGGGGATCCAAAAAAAGATTTATAAGACATTTGTCATACGCAAGCGGATTTAGAAGTAATAAGAAACGTGTATCATATGAAAATAATTTGATCAATTTCAAAATGATTTCTCTTGAAAACCGCAGGGATATTATTGATTTGATTTTTGCTTCTAAAATTATTAGTGGTGTTATTGACTGTCCTGAAATTTTAAGTAAATTTAATATATGCGTTCCCTTTCGTTACCCGCGTTACGCTCGTAAGATTACACCATTGACTAGACCATATAGAAGAACAGTGTTTGGCTCCAATTTCCCCAATTGCTAGACTGAGTAAACTTGTTAACAAATTTAGAGATAAAATTGATATATTTTTCGACCCACCTAACAAGCTCCGTCGCACCTTAAGAGACCATCTTTTGTAACATTCTATAAAATATGTTCTTTCCTTTTCGCTTCTATATATTTTTATTTGTATTTAGTTATAATTTCTTTTAATTTTTAATTCTTTCTTTATCCTAGTAATAGAGGTACACAGTGCTGAGAAAGTTATTTGCATGTTGTATCCGCCTGTAATTATTTGTACATTTTAGTTCTTATCGCTTCATTGTATTTAAATAGCATGTAAGGAATGATACAAATGTTGGTGGATCAATAAAAAAAAATTTAATATAAAACGGGCTGTCTTCTGAAGAACAGGTCACTGTAAAATACAGTAAAGATTCCTAAATTTAAATTAGCCAAAACTAGGAAGTCTTTTTAAGTAAATGTATAGAATTTTACGATAAAATCCCTAAAAATACAGTGTTACAATCGGATACAAAAATTGAAAAAAAAAGTAAAAATTGTTTAAAATAATCTACTACCTACATGCTACCTACTAT